TCCGTTACATCTCTGTCAGGCTCCGGTGGGCACTCAAGGATATTTACTGATTTCCCCTGCACAGTCAATTTGAGAGTGATCTTGGTATCTGTGACCTCTCTCTTTACAAATCACATTGGTTGAAGGCTATAATTAGGGGATATAATTAGAAGTGGATTTCATTTAATGGAGCAGCAACATGTCAGGCGCCCCAAGAGTCCACCAAGCTGCAGGCTGGGATTCTCCCTCACTCTGTTCGGCTGCTGCTGCTGCTTTGGAGCCCACAAGATGCCTGTTGCCCTGAGGATGACCTACCTGATTCTGATGATTATGCTTCAGATAGATCTCCAGCTATGAAGTAAAGCTCTGCCCACAGCCCTTGGCTATCCCTGCACCTCTCAGACCTTGCAGGACCACAGCAAACATCAGCGGCCCATCCCCACGATCTGCTGGATGTCAATGTCCATGGTTGGAAGGCTCTTTGCTTTCTCCAAACTGTCCAAGCCCAGTGCATATTCAGTGCATGCCCTGCCATTGCCTTGACCAACCCAAACCTTTCACGGCCTGGTAGAGGACAAAGCGAACCCCTCCTGGCTCATCAACGCTGCAAACAGAGGTCACTGTCATGGAACAGAAGCAAAATCAAAGCAGAAACAGAAGAAAAGGATCAGTGCTGTGGGAAAGCTAAGGACAGCCCAACCTGCTCAGCACGTGTCACTCCTACACTGCACGAGGCGAGTGAAGGCCACAGGCCCAGCTTCTCCTCAGCTGCGGCGGAGCCGAGGGCACCGCGGGGCCCTGGCGCTGCCGAGGGCAGCCAGACGCAGCCTGCAGGACGTGCTCACCCCGACTCCTAGTGGGAAAACTCCAGCCTTTCTTTGGAGGGAAACGGCCACAGAAATTGGAAAGGCAGTGCTGGCCTTACATTAAAACGCTCTTTGTTTACTTTTGTGTCTTCAAATAGAACCCTTGAAGAACCCAAGGGAAGAAACACAGCCACGACCGCCAGAGAGAGATACCAAAATGCTGCTTCCTAAGGAGCTGGATCGGCACAAGCTGCAAAGCGGATGAAAGAGCCGGGAAGCAGCAGCCCCAGCAGAGCCACCTCTGCAGAGGCCTGACTGGCGCCGGGGGGTCGCTCCAGGCAGCCCGAGCCCCCAGTCAAAGGGGAGGTTTCGGAAGCAGCTTCACAGGCATCTTGGGAGACTCTGGCTCCCTTCACCCTGATAGGGCAGAGGCTGCAGAAATGATGAGCATTTGATAGCTCTCCACGGTGAGCAGTTAATAACTCTCTTAGGTCATAGATCTGGCCTCCACGGCAGAGCTGGAATAATTCACAATAAAATATGACTTCTCATTTATCACTCTGACACTTAATAAATACTTCCTGGTGAAGCCCATGGAAGAGGAAGAGAAGGAGGGAGGAGGAATCCCAAGCTCGTGGTCACTTAAGTGTTTTCGGATGAACATGGCACATGAAGGATGGTGAGAGACCAACAAGTAAATGCAGAACAGAGACTTATTAGAGGAGAAGGGCAAGCGGCACCGCCGGGTGTGCGAGCAGCCAGCAGCCCGGTGTGCCGGGCGTCGCAAGGACACGTTAGCACCTCACAGCCCACACTGATCATCCACTGAAAGGCAGGGAGAGGCTGCCTGGGCTCTGTGGGGCAGGAAACAAAGCTGCAGTAGAGGCCGTTTGCCCGGGGCACCTCCAGGAGCTGCTCCTGCAGACAAGCCCACCTGGCTGGGCACCCTGCTTCCCTGGCAGGCACAAGCAGCTCCCTTGGCTGATGGGGACAGGGATCACATCCCACCTGGCTCCAGGAAGAGCAGGGAGCTCACTCTCTGGCAACGCAAAGGACACCGGCAAAGACCAGCAGGAGCTGCCATCCACAGGTGGCCCCAGGCCCCCAGAAATCACAGCCACCCCCAAGGCAACCACTGCTCCCCCTCGCCCCCATGTTCCAGGGCTGCCGGGGGGTTCGCTCCCAGGGAAGTGCTGGAACACTGGACAAGCCCATGTCTGCTTGTAGTTTTTCCTTGCTGAAATCCCTTCTGGAGCTGTCAGTGGAAACAGCAGTGACAGCAGGTTTTGTAACTTGGAGCACTGGGCATGGCTTCCTGGGCCCCGTAAAGCAAAGGCAGGCGGCGGGAGCTAACCTGCCTGTGGCTCTTTCATGTAGCGACAGCGCAGGTGATCTGTCCGCTGCGCCACAGCTTCCTGAGGGTCTGTCTTTCTACACCGATGCGACTGCATCTCCATTCCTTGCAGCTACCCACGCTCTCAGCTGGTCTGCAAAGGAAGCTCCAGTGCTCCCATACTCTGAAGAGGCCGGCAGCAGCTGCCGCCGGATTCACCTCGATCCTGACGGACCATGGAGCTGGAGGCCCCTGGCTCCCCTCTCCCCAGCTGCTCCTCTCTTAAGCGAGGATTCCCGCTGTAGCTGAAGAGCTTATCCCCCTGGGGGGGAAGTGAGGATCTTGCTGTATTGCTCTGAACGTCCTGGAAGTGTTTTAGCAACAGAGGCAAACAACAAACATTATCCTGTGCACAGTATCGACTCAGTTAATTGGCAAGTGAGGTGTTGGACTGGCCTCCTGCTTGGCTTAAATTGTATATGCACCGAACACTGTCTCTGCTCATCATACTGTCAGTGGGAAAGGCTCCATACCGGGTAATCACACGCTGCTGCAAACGTGGTGCTTAGTAAAGCTGCAAATCAAAGAAAAATAGCAGAAAAACAAAGCAAGGAGGCAGAGGAGGGGTGGAGGGGCCCAGCCTGGAGAACACAAGCCAAGTTGCAGTGTGCAACCCCGCTGCACCTTTTGGGAGTGCGAGGACTCACAAGAAGCTTCTCCAGGTGGATCTGAGGTTTGGGTGGCTGCAGGGAGACCCCGCAGGAATGGGGAGGAAGCAGAGAGCTGGGCGAGCTGCAGGTCTTCCCAGCCCAGGGCTACCAGGAGAGGGGAGAGCCGGCGCTGGGCAGCAACGTTCTGGGGCAGAGGGCACCCAGCCAGACTCCTTGCTCAGCCGTGGGGAAGTCACTTAGCTTCCTGTGACACTGCTGCCACGCAGCCAGCGAGCACCGGGGTCCATCCGCTGTCCCTCCCTGCTGCCTGCTCTGGCAGGGCCACAATACACATGCATGCCCACAAGTCTCCTTCTAAGCAATTATGGGCCTAACTCACTTGGGTCTCGTCCTACTTCAGTGCAGCCTCGGGCTCCAGACGCCTCACCGAACGTGGCCTTACACTCTCTGAGGCAGCAGATTGTCTCCTGCTATAACTGTCGATATAAATCTGTGTCTGTGTGTGTCTGCATACGCACATGGCAGTTCCACAGTTCTGTGGACCAAGTCAGCAAAGGGCTGCACAAGTATGAAATAAAGTCACCTCCCCAGCGGTTTCAGGTCTGTGATCATCTCATAGGTTTTAGTGCAACTGGGAGCATCTTAGTTCCTAAGCCGTGGCCCTGGTTCTCCTCCTGCCTTGCGCCAGGCCCTACAGGACCTTGCCTGTCCCTGCCTGCCAGCTGGAGCCGGCCAGAAAAACACAAATGGCCCTAGTGGTTGCTCAGCACCTTTGATGGCTACGGAGGCTCCTAGTCTGGCCAGACATGGAAGTACGAGAGGAGCGAGCACGAGCAGGGAAACCAAGGCAAGGCAAAACCAAAGCAAAGCCCCCACACAGCCCCATGCATTAGCAGTGGAGGAGGAGGCTCTCAAAGGGCCTTGAGGAACCCAGGGCTCAGTTCTCCAGGAGACAGGCGTTTAACTCAGAGCTGCGAGGAAGTCCCACATGTTTGGGGGTGGCGCTGCCGCGGAGGTGGTGTCACCTCTGGGCAGCACAGGGCCACTCTGGCCTCTGGGGACAGGAGCTGCACTCCAGCGGCAACAGCGGCTCCAGAAGGACCCTGTCCCTGCGGCCAGGAGCAGGGCCAACCCGCTGGATTCGGGCAGCTTTGCCACGGAGGATCCCCCCATCGAGGGGGATGTCAGCCTTGTGGGAAGCTCCTGTTCACAGAGCAGGACAAAGAGGGGAAAAGGCTGCACGGATGAGAGCAATCCGTAATCCCGCAGGCAGGCCGCGAGGCAGCTGGGCATATTTAACGTGCAGGTTAGTTCTCCACTAGAAAGCAGCAAACCTAATTTGCTATTACTGGACTAACTCTCTGCTTTTACATATTCTGCCTAATCCCAGCTCCCAAGTTCATCTGCAAAGCAGACGTTTCCATTAGCAGTGCTTAAAACTCAGCTCTGTCAGCACTTCCACGGTGAGTTTGGAGTTGTTTTAACTCCCCATAAAGCATCGGCTCCCAGCTGGAACACAGCACACAAGAGGGGGAGATATATCTACATAAGTCCCATTAACACTTAGCGTTCGTTATCTCCTGGGCCCCGTAGCTGGAAAATGCCTCCTGAGCTCAGTGCAGGAGGCAGCATCTGCACAGATTTACTCTGCAGTCTTTTGGCTGGGGATTTTAGTTAAGGTTTAACTAGACCGGCAGACACTGTTTATCCGGGCAGCTTCTGTTCCAGCTCTAGGTTTCTCTAAAGCATCTCAGAGATGCATTGGCAGAGCTCGCTGGGTGTTAATTACCAGCTACAAGCGCAGCCTCAGATGCAATACGACTTTTCACTCACAATCTGGAATTGAATACAGCTGCAGACAAAGCACCAGGTTGTGTGAAAATGGGAGTTTTCTTTACACCTGCCATCAAACTGGATGAGAGTTTGGGAGCCAGGTGGAGAGAGCAGAGAAAAGGCTATTAAACGTGGGGACAGCTCAGAGAAACAGACTTGGGAAGAGAGCACCATGACTCAGACTAAGTGACTTGTGTATGTGACTGTCTGCTGCACTGTGCGCTGGCGCTCAGCACGAACCGGCCCAGGAAGGCAGGGGAGGTTACAATTCTACCCTGATTCACAGCAGATGTTCTGAGATCCGGGTCCCAACAGCATCAAGCTGCCCTGGCATCTTCCTGCTGTCACTTACAGCCCTTTACTTGGCTTTTCTTGGTTTTTCAGTTGATAGAGAACGAGATGAACTGCAGCCTCTGGTGCCTGTACTCCTTAAGCACTGCTGCCTGGGACCACGCATACTCGGGAGGTCACTACCTTAGCTGAACTCTGCAGGAGGAGGCAGAGGCTTCATCCATCCGGGAGCAACGGGAGAGCTAACACTGTTTAGCAGCAGAGCACGAGCTGCCTCAATTGCAGGCTGAGGGAGTAAGGTAAGAAACAACCACGGCACTTTATCTAGCAACCATTTCTGTGTCTCGCGTTAAACTGGATTTTTTCAGCGACTGCATCTCCCTCCCTAGGAGTCAAGGCTGGAAACATCCTTCTGAGAAATGCTGGCAGAGGCAAAGAGAAACCTGGAGATTCTTCTGCATCACTGATGGGTTCCAAGGCTGCAGCAGAATTTTCTATCCCCTCCCTCCTACTCTCATCTCTAAAGCTGCTAACGTGTGAAGCCTGGGACCTCATGATCCAATGGCGGATAACGAAGAGGGAGCACCACAAGCAGTAGGACTCTTACTACAATCTGCATGTCCACGCGCTGGGCAGCCTTTTCCTGAGATTCCTGGCCGGATGGTGGGTGGAATTACAGCCTGAGGCCACTTCTCTGCCTGGCTTTCGCGAGGCCTCTTCCTGAGGGCGGCAGTGGAGCAGGACAGAGAGGGAGAAGTGGCTGCTTGCAGGGGTTCTCATGACAGGTCCCGCACTCAGAGCAGGGCGTTGAGCGGGACGGGCGCTCCAGAGGCGAGCACGACACGGGTGCCCTGCAGCAGCAACCTGCATACAACGAAGCAGAAGCAAAGGCCCTGCCACTGCGTCAGGAGCCTTGTAAGAGACACAAGCTCTGAGGAGCTTGCAAGCAAAATGAATGGGACAGGGCACAGGGCAAGAGAGTGGGGAGCCACAGTGGTTTGAAAGGCTGTTCTGGTACTGCCGAGCACAGAACAGGTCTCTGAATAAACCCTCTCCAGCCACACACACAGGGCTGCTCATGAGCCCAAGGACTGAACGGTACTCACTGTGAGGAAAAGAAGCCTGTAAGTGAGAGCCTAGTTATTGCTACAAATGCATCAGATGGCCCTCTCCAAGACACAGGTGTTATAAAATGCTGAATATAATTTCTGGACCCGAAATAAACTCAGTCCCTGCCACAGCATCAGGTTCTGTGCTGGATTTTTCTTCCTGTAGCTCCAAGTCTCCTGGACTTTCCTGGAGATGCTGCCTATTTTTAACCTGCCTTGGCACTTATGTTATCATTCATGTCAGAATGAGGCCAGGCATTAAATATAACTTTCCACCCAAACTTCCCAGATTTGTTTAATTTAGTTATTCTAGTGTGCTGCCTACCACACTTTGGGGAGCACTCGGGAACCTGCACTGAGATGAGGCTCCTGCCTCGGAGAGCAGCTGGGCACGTGGCCCTGGCGCGTGTACCGAGGAGGCGCCCGCTCCGCACAGGACAGTCCCCTGCGGCCCCGCGTGCCCCAGAGCGACCCTCGTGGGGCACCCGCTCGTCGGCAGCCCCTAACAGCTGCCATGGGCAGGGCATCAGTGTCTGCTATTAGCACAACCCAGAGCAAGGTCCTCCCGCGTTAAAACCTCTCTAGATCTCAAGGCTGAGAGGTGCTGAGAACATCCAAGGAAATTCCAGGGGTCTTGTATAATGCTTATCAGTCTGACAGCCTAATTGCCTTATAATTCAAACACAATTACAATATATACTGGAAGCAATTACATGCAGATGACTGGGGTGACTCTCATTTCCTCTACATTTTTTTGTGAACCTTTCTTTCCGGTATCAATTCCACTGCTAAAGAAGTTCTGGAAATTATTACTGAACAAAACCACCTTTTATTAAAACCTATTTTAGGAGCTGCGTGTTAAATCCGCATGTGGATACAAAGACGCGCAAGGAATCGCTCCTCCTCTTCAAGGGCTCAATACAAAAGCCTCCTTGCGCTGCCTTCCGGGATTCATGCCAGCCAAGAGCCTCAGAAATGCTGTAGTAATAAAAATGGAACATGGGATAGCGGAGATTACGCCCAGGAAGGGGCTGCTGAGGGGTGGCGGGTGTGTGACCCCTCACAAGGGGCTCAGCTGCTTTGAGGTCTCGTGCAGGAGCAGGAGCAGCAGCGCGTTCCTCTCTGAGGCCGCTCGGCAGACGCGGCCGAGCCCTCAAGGTGCCGTGAGTTACCCCACCCAGCCCCACACCTCCAAGCCACTGGGATTTAACCTATTTGTTCCTTCTATGAACGACTCAGTTCACTCCCTTGAGGAACACAGAAGGATGAAGCAATGACAAGAGCTACTTGAGGAACTGGTCACATCCCGGCTCATGACGTTGTCCTCCTTTAGCGTTTACGTGCTCTTTGGTGTCTGTCTTCAAATGGCTCCAGTGAATCTCTATTACAAAGCAGCAGCTCCAAGGGGAGTGTCAGGAGAGGAGCGGCTCCCCAACAGCCTCGTGCCCACCTGGGCCGGGATCTCTGCGCCGGGAATGGCACGGGAAGAGCCTCTCTGCACCCCAGGGGATGCCGCCCTGTCTTCAGCTGCAGCCAAGGGCATCCCAAGAGCAGGGAGGGCCCAAGCTACATCTAGCTGTTGTTCTTCACCAGGGAGCGAAGAACAGACCCAAGAAGGTGTCCTGTCCTCAGCACCTCCTCCTCTCTCCTCGACACAGAGGGCAATGGGAACTCCCCTGCCTTGCAAGGATGTTGCAGGGCAACTTTCCTGCCTCATCCTAGTGGAATTGTTTCTAGTCCCTGCTTTTCTGTCTCCATGTGGAGATGGATTTCTGTCCCACAGAAGGCAGTACAGAGTGGTATTCACACTGTACAACCTTCCCTCCCATGAAAACGGTGGTTATTTGTTCTGGGCTCCTTTTAATTCATTAGACTGACCAGAAGAGATGAATTCAGGAGCTCTGCATCATCCCAGGAAAAAATCTCCCTGTTTATATTCTGACATGTCAAAGGCCTGCAATAAATGGCACAAACAGCCCTTCCTTCCAAGCACGGTTCATCCATGGGCCTGCCGGAGATGGCAGGAGGGAGCTGTGCACAACCGCAGGGCTACTCCGTAGACCTGCCGCACAGCACATTGGATGGATCGCATGAGCTCCCACTCGGGAGCACAAGCGGATGAATTCTTCCAAGACAAAGGAGCTACAGAAGCAGCGGTACCACCTGGGAGGAAAGCAGGACGAGTCCCACTAGCCCAGGCTGAGGTTGGTCTTTACAAGCACCACCGGAGCCCGGCAGTCACAACCAAACATGCTGAATGCGTCCACAACTAAACGTGTTTGAAGGGACCTCTAGGGATCATCCAGTCCAACCCCCTGCTCCAGCAGGGACACCCAGAGCACAGGGCGGCATCCAGGTGGGTTTGAGACCTCCAGAGAAGGAGCCTCCACAGCCTCCCTGGGCAGCCTGTGCCAGGGCTCTGGCACCCTCACAGTGAAGAAGTTCCTCCTCACGTGGAGATGGAACTGCCTGTGTTGCAACTTACACCCATTACTCCTTGTCCTGTCACTGGCCACCACTGAGAAGAGCTTGGCCCCTTCCTCCCTATATTCCCCCTTCATGAACTTATATATGTCAATCAGATCCCCTCTCAGTCTTCTCTTCAAAGAAAACAGGACCAACTCACTCAGTCTCTCCTGGTACGACAGATGTTCCAGTCCCTTAATCACCTTTGTTCCCTCCGCTGGACCCTCTCTAGAAGCTCCACATCCCTCTTACATTGAGGAGCCCAGAACTGAGCACAGTACCGCGCACGCCGAGCACCGCGGGGCCAGGAGGGAAGGAACCACCTCCTGCAGCACCAACACTCCTTCCCCACTCTCAGAGCCAGGGAGAAACTGGCTTTTTTTTCTTTTTCCTGTTCTTGCAGTCTCTTGTCCCCTTCCCTCCTCGCTGGCTGGTGCCAGACTGCAAAGATGGAGAAAAGCCTATTGCAATTAAACACTTCGTTCCTCGATGCACGGCTTGGTTTGTAAACAACAGCAGCGACCAAAAACTGCAGCTCTCAGCAAAACCAGCCCAGCTTTCTTTGCAAAACACTACAGGTCTCCAGGGAGAAATTGCTCCTCTCATCAGCCTCCTGAGCCCTCCCAGGGGAGCCCATTGCTCCTCTGACCCCTCCTTGCCCCAGATTTAAAGCCTATCAGAGCAGTATGAAGAGGTGCACACGGGCACGGAGACATCCTGGCCTGGAAGCCATTCCTCTGGAAAGGCACTGCCAACTCCTTCAGATAAATAAATAGCACGTCCCCTGCGAGACATCATCTGCAAAGCACTATCGTACGATGCCTCCACTGTCATAATTCCCTATGTCCTTATTGCCCGACAGCCTCCATAAAGAGCCGGCAGGTTTATGTGCCACTTAAAACCAACCTATTACCAGCAGCAAACTTCCCTCAACAAGTTCCTGTGTGCCTGGACTCCAAAGCAGGAGAGGGGCTGCTCAGCGCCACGGCCGCACATCCCGGCACAGCCCCGGAGGTTCCTGCTCCGTGTGCAGAGTCCCATCGTCCCCCGCGGTGTTCGGGGCAGGGCCAGGGGCTCCTGCTCCCTGTGCAGAGCCCGATCGAGCGAGGCGCCGTTACACCAGGAGCGGGACAGCAGCAGCATCTCCATGCTGCAAGACATGGGTGATGCCTCCCCGTAGGCTTGGCGTCGAGGGAAGCGGGTTCTCTGTAGACACAAACCAACACTGATACCCGCGTGGCATCGCGTGGCTCCGGATCGGATCCCGCGGGCGCCGCGGGAGGCTGCTGTGGCACGGGGCAGCGGAGGCCACCGGCACGGGGCACAGCCTGGCAGCTCCCCATTCCCAGACACAGCGGGCAGCAGGTGGGGCAGCTCTGCTGATCTACTGCTCTGGGTGCTGCTTTCCACAAGCGGCAGCGGCCAGGGGACTCAGCGGGTAGAGCCCCTGCAACGGGCAGGGAGCTCCGAGCACAAAGGGGAGGACACCTCAAGCTCTCTGCGTCTTTCCAGAGGCCCCATACACAGAACTCCGATCACGCAGTGATTTTTGTTTCAAAATATTAAGATGTGCGGCTTTTCTTTTCTGCCAAAAGAGATCAAAACATAAAATGCAGGCGCAAGCCCACTGCCCTAAATTGTCCCATCTGCTTCATGATCCATTTTTATGTGACCAAGGCTACGGTATTTGTTTTATTTCCAAAGAACATATGGCTGATTTTGAAAACCTCAGCCCCTCAGCACCAGGGCCAGCCTTGCAGAAGGGCCCAGCGCTCGGCAGCTCTGCGGTGCCGCACAGGGCTGATTCCTGGAGGAACCGGTCACCCTGGTCGGGCATGAGAAATCCCTGGAAAAGCTGCCCTTGCTTGGGAGAGCTGCAAAGCAGAAGAGCAAGCTGCCGAGTGCAGGAATACCACCCGCCTGTCCCCAAAGCAAGGAAGCCTTGAATCCAAAAACCAGAGAGCAGAAATAAAACAGAAATAGAGAGGGGGGGGGGGGGGAGGGGGGGGGGGGGAGGGGGGGGGGGGGGGGGGGGGGGGGGAAGGGCAGCATAAAAGGTTTGAATAAATTTCCTCGTTGGTTTTAGACTAGTAACACCATAAACGCCACTGAATAAATCA